CTTCAAGGCAAAACAAAGTCTAGAGACTCTAGGTCTCCCAGGGAAGCAAATTAAGGTAAGCAGCAGGGAAAGATACAGAGAGCTGGAAGATTTCACATTTCCTGACTTGAAAGCAATGCGCGCGGCCCATCCCACAACTCGCGGAGGAGACCGGCGGCTTGCAGGGACAGGTCCGAGGCTGGAGTTTGCCTGGCTGGAATTTCAGCCGTGAGCTCTTCCCCCCCCCCCCACGGGTAAAGGGGGGGAGGGTGCAGCATCTCTGGCTCTCAATGAGGTCAAGGCAGCAAGGAGCAACTTCGACATATCTCATTAATTTTTTGGGGGGGGAGCCCAACCAAGAAAGCCAGCTGGACCAGAGGCCAGGGAAAGAGCACCCACCCACCCTACAGTCTATGGCCACAATTGGGAACAAAAGTTTTGTTGCTAAACGATTGTTATATAAACAACTATAGATGACAACCAGCACTTTGGAATTTTATATTTTATATTTATTTTATTTTATATTTATTTTATATATTTGTTTCATTTTATATTTCTTATTATATTTTATATTTATTTTATATTTTAATTTAATATTTATTTTTTTCTTTTTTTATTACATTTTATATTTTAATTTTATTTTAATTTTTTATATTTATTTCATATTTATTTTTTATTTACTATATTGTATATTTCCTTTATATTTATTTTATTTTATATTTTTTATATTTTATATTTATTTTATTTTATATTTTTATTTTATTTTATATTTATTTTATTTTATATTTTAATTTAATTTTATATTTATTTTTTATATTTTATATTTTTATTTTATTTTAATATTTTATATTTATTTTATATTATATTTATTTTTATATTTTACATTTTTTATTTTTTATTATATTTTAATTTTATATTTATATTTATTTTATTTTATATTATATTTTAATTCAATTTAATTTTATATTTATTTTATATTTTAATTTTTTTATTATATTTTAATTTTATTTTAATATTTTATATTTATTTTATATTATTTTATTTTCTGGATTTATTTGCCACCTACCTCGTAATGAAAGGCTCTGGGCGGCTTCCAGCATTAAAAACCAGCCACAAAACGAAAGTGGAAACCAGTGCAGCTGGGGGGGGGGGTGTTCGATGGGCCTACTGAGGCATGCCCATCCCTGGACCGTTTGGTGCTTCCAGCTGGTCTTCCAGTTTGATTTTGCTCAGCCCCCCCCCCCAGCACGAGGGTGGGGGGAATCCCGACAAAGGGGTAACAGGCCATTTGGTATTTGGGATTGGAATGGCTGTTATTTGCTTTGTTTATTAAATGTGGGGGTCCCTGGTGCTCTCTGAGTTGGGCTGTTTTCTTGCAGACATTTCATAACCAAACTAGGGAACATCATCAGTGCTACAAGGAAGTGAGGTTTGTGGAGGGGGGAAGGAGGAGGAGGAAGACAACAGAGGGGTCCATGGTGTTCTCTAGCTTGGCTGTCTTCTTGCAGACATTTCAAGGCCCAAGTAGGTAATATCATCAGTGCCAGAAGGGAATGGAGTTTGCTTTCTATTTACCTTATTTGCTTCTAGCACTGATGATGTTACCTAGTTGGGTCATCAAACGTCTGCAAGAAAACCACCAAGCTCAGAGAGAGCCAAGGACCCCACAGTCTGTCCTTCCTTCCTTCCTTCCTTCCTTCCTTCCTTCCTTCCTTCCTTCCTTCCTTCCTTCCTTCCTTCCTCCTCCTCTTCCTCCTCCTCCTCCTCCTCCTCCCTTCTAACACTGATGATGTTACCTAGCTGGGTCATCAAATGTCTGCAAGAAAATAACCAAGCTCAGAGAGCACCAAAGACCCCACAGTCCTTCCTTCCTTCCTTCCTTCCTTCCTTCCTTCCTTCCTTCCTTCCTTCCTTCCTTCCTTCCTTCCTTCCTTCCCTCCCTCCCTCCCTCCCTCCCTCCCTCCCTCCCTCCCTCCTCCTCTTCTCCTCCTCCCTTCTAGCACCGATGATGTTACCTAGCTGGGTCATCAAATATCTGCAAGAAAATAACCAAGCTCAGAGAGAGCCAAGGACCCCACAGTTCAATCCTGAGCTTCTAATCAGTATTTTTTAAATTTATATGCTCCCAGCTTGCTACGAATTGACATGAAGCAGCTTATAACTAAGTAAAAGCAATAAGATAAAAACATCAACTATTAAAATTAAAAACACTGACATTAAAATTGACTTAAAAGTAACAAAAGCGGCAAGGAAGACAGCAAGATGCACGCAGGTATTCTTTGAAAAATTGATGTCCTGTTATTATACTCCTTATAGTTTCCTTTTTCTGCCTTTTTGGGGGGTACGAGGCTCACCAAAAGACACCCTGGAAGCCACAGCACACAACGCATTAGCTCTGAAATCTCCACCGGAAAGACTTGGATTCCAGATCCCTCCGCAGCAAGGCATAAAGCCAGCAACCGAAGCGGGGTTGGGGGCTTTATTTGGGACGCTTTTATCGTTTCTAAAATACGTTTTATCTTTTTCACGGTCTTGAAACTGTTAAGCCGCCCAGAGTCTTGACCCAGGTGGGCGGCTACAGAAATAGAATTAATGGACAGATCAATGAATGAATGAATAAATAAATAAAACGTGTCCCGGCAGCCCAAGTGCCCCACTTAGTGGGCCTGTCAACACAACCACACAGACACAACTAGAGACCTGGCAGCAAAAAGCAAGGAGGGGGTTTTGTGCTTGGAGGGCATCAGGGGAGGGGGGAGGGAGGGAGGGGTGGCAGCCGAGCCTCCAAGTCACAGACCACACACCCCCATCACATCCATTACACACACAGACACACACACACACAAACACATACGCAGAGGAGAAAAGGGTCACAGTTGGGGTGTCTTCTGTTAAGGGAGACCACACACCCCCATTACACCCCCATTACATACAAACACACATACACATACACACACACACACACACACACACACACACACACACACACACACACGAGAAAAGGCTCACAGTCAGGATGCCTCCTGTTAAGGGAGACCACACACCCCCATTACACCCCCATTACACACACACACACACACACACACACACACACACAGAGAGAAAAGGCTCACAGTCGGGGTGTCTCCTGTTAAGGGAGACCACACACCCCCATTACCCCCATTACACACACACACACACACAGACACACACACACACACACACACACACACACACACACACGAGAAAAGGCTCACAGTCGGGGTGTCTCCTGTTAAGGGAGACCACACACCCCCATTACATACAAACACACACACACACACACACACACACACACACACACACACACACGAAAGAAAAGGCTCACAGTCGGGGTGCCCCCTGTTAAGGGCAGTCCCACCTGGGCAGGGGCGAAAGAAGTGGCCAAAGGGGAGGGGGAGGGGGATGCCGGACCCCAAAGGGCAGAAATTGGGGGTCTTTTTGCCCCCCAAAAGCAGAATTGCTCCCCCAAAGGAGAAATGATCCCCAAAACAGGATTCCTGCTCCCCCCCCTTGAGCAGCCCCCCAAAATCAAGAAGCCCCCCCATAGGAAGGGCAGCCAAAGCATCGTTGGGGGGTGGAAGAGGAGGAGGAAAAGAGCCCCCCACCCACCCTGGTGCCCCCTCTTCTTCCGAGGGGGGTACGGGGAGGGGGACGGCGAGGGGGGGCGGCAAACCCGCATCTTGCACAGCCGCGTTCGCACGACACGCTTAACCCGGACACGGGATGGACACGGGGACTACGTACACACGTACACACACATCCCCATCCTCCAGGTTCCCCCCCCCTCCAAAGCAGAGGCCTACCTGCTCCGCCGTCCCACCTGGCAGGGCCGTCGTGAGAGGGCAAGGCCGGCGGCTCGCAGGGGCGCCGAGGGGGCCGCTCCCCACCGGCGGGGGCTGCCGGCCGTCGCGGGGACGCGGCTCGGGGTCCAGTCGGGGCCTACCCGAGGTCGAGCTGGGCCTCTCCTCGGGCCGCGGCCGGAGCGGAGGCAGCGGCGACGGCGAGCGCGGGCCCGGAACTACGCCTCCCGGCAGGCCCCGCGCGCCCAGCAACTGGCCTCCCGCGCTGGCCGAGAGGAGAGACTACGCTTCCCGGCGGCCCTCGCGCGGCGAGCTCTCTCTCTCTCTCTCTCTCTCTCTCTCTCTTTTTTTTTTTTTTTCCCTTCCCGCTTCCGAACGCGGCTGTATTGCTGTTGCCTAGGCGACGCCCCGCCCCCGCGTTCCAATCCGGGCGCCGGGCGAGGATGGTGGGTCCGCGCGCGCGGCTCGGGGGGCGCCTGCAAGGCGGGGCGCGGGGGGGGGCGGGGGGGGCAGGCTGGAAAGGTGGGGAAAAAGACCCGCTGCAGATTGCACTCCTGCTTCTATCATCCCCAGCCACGGCCCAGAAGGGAGGAGGGCGCGCTTCCCGGGACGGGCGGTGCGGCTTTGAAGAGGGGCGCGCCGCTCTGCGCCGGATCCCGAAGCAGCCCCGGACTTGCAGCCGTGCAAGGTGGCTCCTGTTTTGCACGCTTCTCCGCCTGCGCCAGGGGCCCCGATCCCCCGCGAGCACAAGAGCGGGAGTGGGTTTGTGGCCACTCTCTGCGCCCGATCCAGCGATCCGAGCACAGGGGCAGAGCAGCGCAGCCTGGGCTTCCCAATGCGCGACCCTCTGGAATCGCTGGACCACGATTACCAGCATCCACAGCTGGCTTGTGAATCCCCCAGAGCAGAGGTAGGCAACCTTGGCTCTTTTATGACTCGTGGACTTCAACTCCCAGAATTCCTGAGCCAGCTATGCTGGCTCAGGGATTCTGGGAGTTGAAGTCCACGAGTCATAAAAGAGCCAAGGTTGCCTACCCCTTCCCCAGAGAGACCCTACACACCACACACACACACACACACACACACACACACACACACACACACACACACACACACACACACACACACCAGGCTTGGACTCCGACATCCTCTTGCGCGTGGGTCCTGCCCCACTTGCAGCCACTCACAAAAACCCCGGAGTTAATTGAACTCGGCCCAAATCTCTTGAAGCTCCCCCCCCCCCCGTCAACCTGCCATTTAGGCTAACAGAATAACAGAGTTGGAAGGGACCTTGGAGATCATCCAGTCCAACCCCATGTTCGGGGCAGGAGATGCCATACCCTTTCAGATAAATGGTTATCCAATCTCTTCTTTAAAAAAAATCTAACTTCATGAGTCGGGCTGTTCCACAGCTCAATAACTCTCACAACCCCAAAAAAATTCCTCCTGGTTTTTAGAATGGATCTCCCATTCTAAAGCTTCCGCTTGTTGGTTCTTTAAGCTTTAGCTGCTAGGGAGAATAGATCTATTCCCTCTTCCCCTTCGTGTATTTTCTACCCTCTTCCTTTGGCCTGCACATGGCACTGAAGGAGGGGAGAGGCCACCATGCCCGGAATCCCTGTCAGCAGGGCCAGGGGGAGTTATAGGAGCTCACATGCTGGTGGGGCATGATGGAAGTTGGAGTCTAGTTGTGGATTGCAATGGATCCCCTGCCCTTCCTGGTGTTTGAGGTTCTTGGTACTCTGTAAGGTGGGTTCTTGCACACATTTAACTTCCCAACTAAGTGACATCTCCAAAGCTAGAAGGGGGGAGGAGGAGGAGGAGAAGAGGAGGAGGAGGAAGAGGAGGAGAGGAGGAGGAGGAAGAAGAGGAGGAGGAGGAGGAGGAAGAAAAAACTGGGGTCCTTGATGCTCTGAGCTTGGGGGTTTTCTTGCAGACCCATCCAGGTCACCATTATTGCTAAAAGGGAGCATGGATCTTTCCTGCAGCCTATACCCAGATAAGCAGGGATTAACACCAGACAAATAACAAACCAGAAAGCAGTATCCCAGTGAAGGAAGATCCAAGCGGAAAACCACAACCCCACCAACACTGACGGGTCAAGCTATTGTATGTCAACAGAGATCAAACCCCACACTCCCTCACATGGATGACGGTACCTAGTTGGGTCATGAAACATCTGCAAGAAAATCACCAAACTCGGAGAGCACCAAAGACTCCACTGTTGTCGTCATCCTCCTCCTCCTCCCTTCAAACCCCATTCTCTTCTAGCCTGGATGATGTTACCTAGGCGGGCCGTGAAACATCTTGGAGCAAACAGACAAGCTCAAAGAGCAGCAACTTCAAACCTGGGCTACACACATTTTCTCCTATCGGTGTTAATTCTGTTTTTCGTTTCTCCTCCAGGCAAGCTCCGCACTTTCCTTTCCCAGGTGGGTAATTTCTTCACTCACCCGGCCCCCCAGAGGTTTGCAGAGCTGCAAGAAGCGGCCGTCCATTATTTTTAATCTCTCTTCTGCATCTCCTACATCTCACCCTGCTTCTGACGCTCCCTGAGCCTCTGCCCCCTTGCAAGCAGAGCCCTGAGCCTCTGCCCCCTTGCAAGCAGAGCCCGAGGGCGTCTCTTTCCGGGGATAGGATGAGTGCCAGCTTTGGGGTAAGAGCAAGGATCAAGGCTAGGCACCAAGTGGGAGCAATTGCCTCCCAAAACAATATTGCAATTTAAGCTGAACAGATGACAGGAAAGGGAGGGGAGAGGGATGAGGGCTGTTGGGGGGGGCATCTGGAGAAAACCATGATTCGCATTCAGATCTACAGAATATAGCTACCGTGTTTCCCCCAAAATAAGACCCAAGCGGAAAATAAGACCTAGCGTGATTTTTCAGGATGCTCGTAATATAAACCCCACCCAAAAATTAAGCCCCAGTTAAGATCATCAGCCAGAAGGAAACATTTAGTACCGTATTTTCCCCAAAATAATACCTAACCCAAGGGTCTTCAAACTTGGCCCTTTGATGACTTGTGGACTTCAACTCCCAGAATTCCCCAGCCAGCCATGAGTTAGGGTTAAGATTGACTGGGGAATTCTGGGAGTTGAAGTCCACAAGTCATCAAAGGGCCAAGTTTGAAGAGTCCTGGACTTCAACTCCCAGAATTCCTCAGCTAGGCACACTGGCTGAAGAATTCTGGGAGCTGAAGTCCACAAGCCATCAAAGGGCCAAGTTGGAAGAGCCCTGGACTTCAACTCCCAGAATTCCTCAGCCAGGCATACCAGGCCACACCTCTTGAGGCATGCCCGGGATCTGCTCCAACCCTTTTGGTGGTTTATCACTTTCCTAAATTGGTGCCATCCGTCAGGCACACCTGTTCAACAGCTGGCACTGCTCCTGGCTGTTGGCTCAACACGCCAGACATCCTTTGCACAAGACACGGGTCATGTCCGCCCCACACGCACCGATGTACTGTGGCTCGTTTGACCTTCCATGGTGATTTGTCCATTATGGTTTATAGAGTCATGCTGGAACGGGGCTGTCCACAGCAGGCAGTCAGAAAAGTCAAGATGGCCACAGCAGGTTTCGTGCAATGCACATTTTCACTTCCATAGCCCCATCTCTTCCCCGGAGCTTGGCCATTCTCTGGGTCGCCCCCTCCTTCCCTCCTTCCCTCCCCCCAGCCGGAATCCCCTTCCCCAAAGTGGGACGTGTGGACAGGGTCCTGCAGAAGCGAGCCCAGCAACCTGCCTGCCTCAGCCATGTGTGAATCTCTGGGCGTGTGACGTTGTGTTTTGCCAGCACAGCTGGAAAGACCTGCGTGCACTGGAATTACACCAAGGCCTCCCTCCAGGCGCCACCGCTGGACTTCTCCTTCCGAGGCATCAGCTTCATGCAAGGTACAAACGAGTCCCCCAGCCTGGGGCTGTTTTTATTTCTGGGTTTTGATATTTGATATTCGAAGCTGCCAACGATGTTGCAGGCAGGAGACGCTTGTAGAGAAAGTCCATGTGCCGTTGTTGGGGCTCAAACTCGGAGTTGTTACAGCCAGCTTGGTCCAGCGCAGCGGTCTGCAACCGTGACCACTTTAAGACTTGTGGACTTCAGCTCCCAGAATTCCTCAGCCAGCATAGAACAGCATAGCTGGCTGAGGAATTCTGGGAGCAGAAGTCCACAAGTCTTAAAGTGGTCAAGGTTGCAAAACCCCTGATCTAGCGGTTCAGGCAGCAGGCTAGAAACCAGAAGACGGTGAGTCCCACCTTCTCCAGCTGTGTGACTTTGGGCCAATCACCAGGAGATGGAGAGTTCTAGTCCCGCCTCAGCCATGAAAGACGGCTGGGTGACTTTGGGCCAATCACCAGGAGATGGGGAGTTCTAGTCCCGCCTCAGCCATGAAAGACAGCTGGGTGACTAGGCCAATCACCAGGAAACAGAATTCTAATCCTGGCTTAGCCATTCAAGGTCGCTGGGGGAGTTTGGGCCAATCACCAGGAGATGGAGAGTTCTAATCCCGCCTTAGCCACAAAAGCCGACTGGTGCCTTTGGGCCAGTGACCAGGAGACGGGGAGTTCTAGTCCTGCCTTATGCATGAAAGCTAGCTGGGTGACTTTGGGCCAATCACCAGGAGACAGTGAGTTCTAGTCCCGCCTTAGCCATTAAAGATAGTTGGGTGACTAGACCAATCATCAGGAGACAGAGAATTCTAGTCCCGCCTCAGCCATGAAAGCCAGCTGGGTGCCTTTGGGCCAATCGCCAGGAGACGGTGAGTTCTAGTCCTGCTTTAGGGATGAAAACCGACTGGGTGACTTTGGGCCGATCCCTTCCTCTCAGCCCCCCCCTCCAGGGTGGTGGTTATGGGGAAAAGAGGAAGACGACCATATGTTTTGAGATGTTTGCTGTCTTGAGTTATTTGTAGAAATAAAGGTTTTTAAATTTTATATTATATTTATATACATATTTATATGTTATGTGTGCGTGTAAATAAATCAATAAAATTAAAAGCAAAAAAAAATCCACTGCTATTTTGCCAAATGAGAAGATCCTTGTGTGTCTCTCTCGAAACAAGGGATAATCAACCCAAGGATGTTTTGTTTTTCAATAGGCGACTTTCTTTTTTTTTTTTTTTCCCCCTTTGGAAACATTTTGCTTCTCATCCAAAAACTCCAGAACTGAAGAAACGTCTTGGAGGAGAAATCAAACATTTTCAAAGAAAAAAAACAAGAAAGTCCAGTTGCCTTTTGGGGCTGGAGAAAAAAAAGCATCTTTGGGACAGCTGTGACCGAGAATGATGGAGAATCTTCCTTGAGCTTGAGTGGCTGCCAAGTGATTTAAGTCAACCCCATCGGAATAATGAAAGTCCGGGGAGATCCTGAGCTAGCTGCCTTGCTAATCCAATCTCTCGTCTGTCATGTGCTCCTTTAACTTTATATTTTTGCTTCTTTATTAAATTTATGTGCCTCCCATCTCATTATCAAGCAACCTAGAACTGAGGAGAAACTTCCTGACAGTTAGAACAATTAACCAGTGGAACCACCTGCCTCCAGAAGCGGTGAATGCTCCAACACTGGGAGTTTTTAAGAAGAGACTGGACAGCCACTTGTCTGAAATGGTATAGAGCAGAGGTAGGCAACCTTGGCTTTTTTATGACTCGTGGACTTCAACTCCCAGAATTCCTGAGTAAGCATAGCTGTCTCAGGAATTCTGGGAGTTGAAGTCCATGAGTCATAAAAGAGCCGAGGTTGCCTACCCCTGGTCTAGGGTTTCCTGCCTGAGCAGGGGGTTGGACTAGATGACCTCCAAGGTCCCTTCCAAGTCTGTTATTCTCCTCCTCCTGCTCCAGAAGACATTGGTATAGGGTTTCCTCCCTGAGCAGAGGGTTGGACTAGATGATCTCCAAGGTCCCTTCCAACTTTATTATTATCATTATAACTTTTTAAGGATGATTGCTTTTTTTTGACCTGCTCTATACTGTCTTGTGAGATGGGCGGTTATATAAATTTGATAAATAAATAAAATACATAGATGGAGTGGGGAGGGGGGAATCCAGAGGGCTCTTTGGATGCCCTCCCAGCTTCATCACTCCATTCCAAGCAAAGCACCTTTTGAGTGAGACGAAGAATTTCTCACTTTCTAAGGATCTCCCCAGCCGAGCAGGCGGATTCCCCCGAAGGACTCCGTGCAAACCCTTGACTCAAAACGTGGCCTGCACATCGGTGGCTTTAGCGCCCTGTCCCCTTTTCCATGCCCCAGACCAGTGGTGGCGAACCTATGGCACGGGTGCCAGAGGCGGCACTCAGAGCCCTCTCTGTGGGCACGCGCACCGTCGCCCCAGTCCTGGGCCTTCAGCTGGGTTTTATAAAACCTTTTTGCTTTAGGCCTCCAACGCCGTGTACAAAAAAAAAAAAAAGGTTCAATCAATTTCAACTTCTCGTGGGAAAAAAAAGATCTTGCAAAGTTGGAATTGATTGATTGAACATTTTAGTCCCACCCAGTCTGCCGTTACCACCACAACCACGCCCACCCAATGGGACACGCCCATCCAATTGGCCACACCCACCCAATGGGACACACCTACCCGGCACCCAACGATGCATAAGTGGGTTTTGGGTTGCAGTTTGGGCACTTGGTCTCTAAAAGGTTTGCCATCACTGATATAGGGTTACCTGCCTGGGTAGGGGGTTGGACTAGATGACCTCCAAGGTCCCTTCCAACTGTTATTCTGTTCCAGTGGTTGGCGAACTTATGGCATGGGTGCCAGAGGCAGCACTCAGAGCCCTCTCTGTGGGCACGCGCGCCGTCGCCCCCAGTCCTGGGCCTTCAGCTGGGTTTTATAAAACCTTTTCGCTTTAGGCCTCTGAAACCATGTGCAAAAAAAAAAAAAAGGTTCAATCAGTCAATTTCAACTTCTCGCGGAGGGGGGGGGGGAGATCTTGCAAAGTTGGAATTGATTGATTGAACTTTTTAGTCCCACCCAGTCTGCTGTTACCACCACAGCCACGCCCACCCAATGGGTCACAGCCACTCAGCACAGGACAATGCATAAGTGGGTTTTGGGTTGCAGTTTGGGCACTCGGTCTCTAAAAGGTTCGCCATCACTGCCCCTGGCTATCTTTCTGCACAGCTGCAGGGATGGTGCTCCCTATCACAACCCTGTGATCAACACCCATCTTTTTTTTTTTTTTTGACACGCAAACACACCCCTTCCTGAGAATGAGACCTCTGAATCCCTGGGACCCCTAAACCCCCCCCCCCCGGTCTATATGGAGAGGGAGGGTTAGTTAGACTTGCAATAGGAGAATTTTCCAGGTCCTTTTTCTGAGCTGGGATACCACAAGCGAATAAGACAGAAATAAGAGAATAACATGTTAATAATTTAATAATAAGCTTCTGCTCTGAACTTCTGAATGGAAGTTTCTGGATGAGAGGTGAAATGTTTTCAAGGAAAAAAAAAACCCAAGAAAGCTAACTTTTGGGAAACTGTGACCCTGGATGATAAAGAATCTCCGTAGGCTTCTAGCCTAGCAGTGGGGAGTGCATTCTGCACATGCTCCAGAGCTGTGGGTCCTGTGCAGGCAGCATCAGCTGCCGGACGATGCCCAGTGGCTACTGGCACAGCAAGCGCCTCCCTCTGCCCTCTTTGCTTCCCCCCCCCAGACCTGCTGACGGAGGAGCCTCGTCCAGGCCTCAGACCAATCCGGCGCTCGGAGGGGGGCCGCCTGCTGACCCAGGCCCTGCGGCTGAACAACAACACCCTGAGCGACCTGACGGACTTCCCAGACATCATGGAGAAGCTGCTGGAGTATCCCCTGGACATCTACTGGATTGACCTCTCCTTCAACGACCTGCCCACCATCGACCCGGTATGTGAACCCGCCACTGGCCGGCCCTTGTAAACTGATGTCTGTGTGGATTGGATTGGATTGGATTGGAATGGAATGGAACAGAATAGAATAGAATAGAAAATATGGAGTGGAATTGAACAGAACAGAACAGACAATAGAACAGAATAGAATTACAGAATGGAATAAGAATGGAATTGAATAAGAATGGAATGGAATAGAATAGAATAGAATAGAATAGAATAGAATAGAATAGAATAGAATAGAATAGAATAGAATAGAATAGAATAGAATAGAATAGAATAGAATAGAATTACACAATGGAATAAGAATAGAATAGAGTAGAATAGAATTACAGAATAGAATAGAATAATAGAATAGAATAGAATAGAATAGAATAGAATAGAATATAATTACACAATGGAATAAGAATAGAATAGAGTAGAATAGAATTACAGAATAGAATAGAATAATAGAATAGAATAGAATAGAATAGAATAGAATAGAATAGAATTACACAATGGAATAAGAATAGAATAGAGTAGAATAGAATTACAGAATAGAATAGAATAGAATAGAATAGAATAGAATAGAATAGAATAGAACAGGACTTTGTCTCTTTAATTGTACACTAATCAGCATATATTACAATGAAACTTTGTGGCATTCAGCTGTCAAAAAAATACCATTCTGGGAGTTGAAGTCCACAAGTCATAAAAGGGCCAAGTTTGAAGACCCCTATTTTATATTATATTGTACATATATATTATGCTATATACTACTTTGTAAAACAGGTAGTCCTCAACTTACAATCACAACTGAGCCCAAAAGTTCTGTACTTGTGAGAGATTTGTTACGTGAGTTTTAATAATAATAATAAAGTTGGAAGGGACCTTGGAGGTCATCTAGTCCAACCCCCTGCTCAGGCAGGAAACCCTATACCAGTGATGGCGAACCTTTTAGAGACCGAGTGCCCCAAAACTGGCCCCGCCCCCACTCCACCCCCTGCCCCATCCCTGCTCTGCCCCCCCATCCCCCGCCCCGCCTGCCTGCAGGGTCACTAACTGCCTCCAGGGCCCGCCGATCACCCAGGCAGCCCAGCAGTGCTATGGCGGCCATGCCCTCTGCCCGCGCCCTGCAGCATCAACTGCATAATGGGGTGTGAGGGCAGAGTTTTCTCTACGCTGCCTGGCTGCCCTGTCCTTGGCTGCGCTGCTCTGGGTGGGCCACACTCAGGGGCGACTTTCCTTCAGGGGGGGCTACTGGAGAGGAGGGGGTCGCAGGGAGAGGCAAGGCTGGGGCAATGGCACGTGTTCCCACAGAGAGGGCTCCGAGTTCTGCCTCGGGCACCCGTGCCATAGGTTCGCCACCACTGCCCTACACCATTTCAGACAAATGGCTGTCCAGTCTCTTCTTAAAAGCTTCCAGTGTTGGAGCATTCCCCGCTTCTGAAGGCAGGTAGTTCCACTGGTTAATTGTTCTCACTGCCAGGAAGTTTCTCCTTAGTTCCAGGTTGCTTCTCTCCTTGGTTAGTTTCCATCTGTTGCTTCTCGTCCTGCCTTCAGGCGCTTTGGAGAATAGCTTGACTCCCTCTTCTTTGGGGTAGCCCCTGAGATACTGGAAGACTATCATGTCCCCCCTCGTCCTTCTCTTCATTAAACCAGACATACCCAATTCCAGCAACCGTTCCTTATATGCTTTAGCCTCCAGTCCCCTAATCTTTGTTGCTCTTCTCTGCACTCTTTCTAGAGTCTCAGCATCTTTTTTACATCGCGGTGACCAAAACTGGATGCAGGATTCCAAGTGTATGAACTGTTATATGTTATGAAATAATACGTATTATATTACCATATCATAGTATAACAATAATGTCTGTGATGAATAACGTCTGTAAAAATAATGTCTGTGTATATTAACCCCTATATTGGGGCTGTCATATTATTGCTTATCTTTCTTACGTTCTTTACTTCCTCCTTTCATTGGGATGATGATGGTGATGGTTCTGTTGCTTTGCATACACCCAGAGAGCTTCTATACTGGAGACAAATACCTTGGGTGTCTAATCATGCTTGACCAAAATAAAATATTCAGTTCAGTTAAACATAGCTGGGTTCTTCCACAAAGCACAGGCATAAACCCACCCCAGAGGAGATGTGGGGGTGGGAGGGCAGAGAGGGACCAGATGCCCAGCACTGGTTTATGAGCGTCCTAAATACCACCCTTAACAGCCAGGGGCAGGGACAGGTGGTCCAGCCTGGGAAATCAACCTGCAAGGCGTCACCAGGCCCTTCCCTGCTGCTCAGAGAAGCCACTAAGGAGAAACCAAGCCATAAAAATAAACACACACACACACCCTGTTATTCTTGCACTTCTTCCCAGGTACTGACCACTTACTACAACCTCCGGAATCTGAACCTTCATGGCAACAGCATCCAGCACCTGTCTGAAGTGGACAAGCTGGCCATCTTGCCTCACCTGCGCAGCCTGACTCTCCACGGAAACCCTCTTGAGGAGGAAAAGGGCTACAGGTAAGCCCTGGAGGTTTGGAAGCTTTGCCCTGGGCTAGAACACCTGAAGGAGAGTTGCAAGGACTGGGAATGTCCAGCCCAGGGGTAGGTAGGCAACCTTGGCCCCTTCATGACTTGTGGACTTCAACTCCCAGAATTCCTGAGCCAGCATGGGGGAAACTTTGGCCCCTTCATGACTCGTGGACTTCAACTCCCAGAATTCCTGAGCCAGCATGGGGGAGCTACAGCCCCTTCATGACTTGAGGACTTCAAATCCCAGAATTCCTCAGCCAGCATGGGGAAACTATAGTCCCTTCATGACTTGTGGACTCCAACTCCCAGAATTCCTGAGCCAGCATGGGGAACTGTAGCCTCTTCATGACTCGTGGACTTCAACTCCCAGAATTCCTGAGCCAGCATGGGGGAACTATGGCCCCTTCTTGACTCGTGGACTTCAACTCCCAGAATTCCTGAGCCAGCATGGGGGAACTATGGCCCCTTCATGACTTGTGGACTCCAACTCCCAGAATTCCTCAGCCAGCATGGGGGAACTATGGCCCCTTCATGACTTGTGGACTTCAACTCCCAGAATTCCTCAGCCAGCATGGCTCAGCTTGGAAACCTCTCCCTTTCCCCTCAGCATGGCTGGCTCAGGAATTCTGGGTGTTGAAATCCACCAGTCATAAAAGAGCCAAGATGGCCTCCCCCTGGGCGAGCCTAACTAAGAGAAGGAATAGGGGTGACCTGATAGCAGGCTTCTGATATATGAGGGTGCTCCATCACTGGAGGCTTTAAAGAAAAGACTGGACAGTCACCTGCCTGAAAGGGTGTAGGCCGGACTCATGCTTGAGCAGGGGGTTGGACTAGAAGACCTCCAAGGTCCCTTCCAGCTCTATTTTGATTGATTGATTGATACATTCATTTATTCATTCATGATTCATTTATTCATTTATTGGATGATTGAGGGGCTGCCCCCAAGAAGAGTGGGAGTCAAGCTATTCTCCAAAGCCCCTGAAGAAGGCAGGACAAGAAGCAATGGATGGAAACTAACCAAGGAGAGAAGCAACCTGGAACTAAGGAGAAACTTCCTGACAGTGAGAACAATTAGCCAGTGGAACCACCTGCCTCCAGAAGCGGTGAATGCTCCAACACTGGAAGTTTTTGAGAAGAGACTGGACAGCCATTTGTCCGAAATGGTATAGGGTTTCCTGCCTGAGCAGGGGGTTGGACTAGATGACCTCCAAGGTCCCTTCCCACCGTTATTCTGGATTTGAAATGGGTGTTCTCCAGACCCCACCAGCTTTGCATTAACACACCTAAATTCTATTCTTGAATCCGCCCACTCTTTCTGTCTCAATGGATCAACACGTCCCTCTCGTGGGGGTCTTCCAGGGCCAAAAGCATGCTTCCTTTTGCATTGGATTGACCCCCAGTCCCCAATCACAAAATTACATGTTGTTCTCCCATGGAATCCTTTGGCCCAGGGGTCTTCCAACTTGGCCCTTTGAGGACTTGTGGACTTCGACTCCCAGAATTCCTCAGCCAGGCACGCGTGCCTGGCTGAGGAATTCTGGGAGTCGAAGTCCACAAATCCTCAAAGGGCCAAGTTGGAAGACCCCTGCTTTGGCCCATCTTCCTGGGAAGATTTCCTGATCCGCTTTCATTCTCCGCAGCAGGTTCTGCCAGACAAAAACCCAGCTTACATTGGCAGCGCCACGTTGAGTTCCTATTAAATCAGGACAAATCGTTGCCAATATTAGTTATGTAGAAAGCAGGCCTTCCTTCCTTCCTTCCTAAGACACTGGAAAGAAACCACTCCAATTTCGTAAGTCTTGCAAGAACACAAGGTTGCACAACGCCGTACATAAGACACTGTGATTGGAGCGATGACTCATTGCGTCAATTACGATTTCTCCTACTACCTCTGATTGACACAGGCAAAATTAACCCTAAATAGTTTAGGAGATCCCGAATTATGCTCTCGTTCAATTGTCTATTGGTGCCCCCGTTGCCCTCACACTCTCTCTTCTTCCATCCTGGCTGGTCTCCAAGATCCATCGACTCTCTGGATGGAGCTGGTTCCACGACTTGCAGGAAGTCCAACTGGGTGGGTCAGTTCCTTCAACCTCTTCTTGGCTCTTTTTGAACCTGTGCCAACCGACTAGAGAAACTGCTCTTTCATTTGTTTCGTGAGGAGGAGGATGAAACACACCTCTGAGCTTATATCCTTGTGTAGTTGGAAGGATTCCTTGAGAAAAAATAATAATAGAAGTGGCAGGGACCTTGGGGGTCTTCTAGTCCATCCCCCTGCTCAGGCAGGAAACCCTACACCATTTCAGACAAATGGCTGTCCAGTCTCTTCTTAAAAACGCCCAGTGTTAGAGCATTCACCGCTTCTGGAGGCAGGTGGTTCCACTGGTTAGTTGTTCTCACTGTCAGGAAGTTTCTCCTTAGTTCCAGGTTGCTTCTCTCCTTGGTGAGTTTCCATCCGTTGCTTCTTGTCCTGCCTTCGCGCGCTTTGGAGAATAGCTTGACTCCCTCTTCTTTGGGGCAGCCCCTGAGATACTGGAAGACTGCTATCCTGTCCACCCTCGTCCTTCTCTTCGTTAAACTAGACATACCCAATTCCAGCAACCGTTCCTCGTATGTTTTAGCCTCCAGTCCCCTAATCATCTTTGTTGCTCTTCTCTGCACTCTTTCTAGAGTCTCAGCATCTTTTTTACATCGTGGTGACCAAAACTGGATGCCGTATTCCAAGTGTGGCCTTACCAAGGTCTTGTAAAGTGGTATTACATTACATTCACGTGATCTTGCATCTCATATGGTTGGAAGGATTCCTTGAGACAGAGTCACAGAACTGGAAGGGGCCTTGGAGGTCATCTAGTCCAACCCCCTGCTGGAGCAGGAGACCCTAGACCAGAGGTCTTCAAACTTGGCCCTTTGATGACTTGTGGACTTCGACTCCCAGAATTCCTCAGCCAGGCACGTGTGCCTGGCTGAGGAATTCTAGGAGTCGAAGTCCACAAGTCATCAAAGGGCCAAGTTGGAAGACCCCTGTGTTAGACCATTTCAGATAAGTAGCTATCCAGTCTCTTCTTAGGACGTTATCTACAGGTAGTCCTCAACTTACGACCACAATTGAGCCCAAAATTTCTGTTGCTAAGTGAGACAGTTGTTGATTTTGCCCTATCTTACGACCTTCCTTGCCCTCGTTGCTCAGCCAATCACTGCAGCTGTTAAGCTAGAATGCAACGGAATGGAACAGAATTCTCTATGGGCCAAGCGAGATCAGACACACAAGGAATTTGTCTCCGGTACAGCAGTTCTCCGTGTACATACAAGGAACAGTGATAATCATGATCATATATGCTTGTCAAGTGAATCTGGGTTCCCCCCTGACCTTGCTGGTCAGGTGGTCTTAAAAGGGGATCACATCACACACACACACACACACACACCAGCATTGCAACCATCGTAAATATGAGGCAGTCGTCAAGAGTCTGAATGTTGATCATGTGAGTCTGGGGGACGCTGAAGAGGTTGTGTGAAAAACGGTCATAGCTCACTCTTTCAGTGCCGTTGTAACTTCAAGTGGTCACTAAATGAACTGTTGTAAATCAAGGACTAGCAGTAATGGGTTAGCCTAGGGCCAGGGTAGGCAACCTTGGCTCTTTTATGACTGGTGGACTTCAACTCCCAGAATTCCTGAGCCAGCCATGCTGAGGGGAAAGGGAGAGGCTTCCAAGCTGAGCCAGGCTGGCTCAGGAATTCTGGGAGTTGAAGTCCACAGGTCATGAAGGGACCATAGTTTCCCCATGCTGGTTGAGGAATTCTGGGAGTTGAAGTCCACGAGTCATGAGGGGGCCATAGTTCCTCCGTGCTGGCTGAGGAATTCTGGGAGTTGAAGTCCACGAGTCATGAAGGGGCCATAGTTTCCCCCATGCTGGCTGAGGAATTCTGGGAGTTGAAGTCCACGAGTCATAAAAGAGCCCAGGTTGCCTACCTCTGGGTTAGCCTCTTTCCCACCCCCAGAGAAGGCACTGTGGCCCTCCCTACCTTGGGCACCTTAAAGGAGCAGCCCTCAATGGCGGAGCATGTTCAGCCCTTGGAGGGAAGGGCGGAGGGTCCAGCCCAGCGAAGGCCTGACCGCCTCTCCTTGCCCCCTCCCTTCCTAGGAGCTACGTCCTGTCCACCTTGCCCCAGCTGAAGTCCTTCGATTTCAGCGGCGTCACCAAACTGGACCGCAGCACCGCAGCCGTCTGGCGGCGCATGAACATCAAGCCGAAGGTGATCCGGAAGAAACGGGAGCGCTACTGACGGCCAAGCTGCTTCCTGAGGAATAAAGCTTTAGAGTAGCTTCACCTGGTGAATTATGGGGAGGGGGGCGCACGAGAGTCAGGGGTGCACAGACATGGGGGAGGCAAGATCAAGAGCCTCGGCTTCTCCCAGAATTCATATGGGGGGGGGGGTCAAAGAGCCTCTGTGACCTGTTGCCTAGACAGGCTGCGCTACCCCTGTAACTTCCTACAGCTGAGGAACTGGGGCTTGGCAACCCAAAATATCTGGAGAGGTGTTTCCATGCGTAAGAAATCTTCCAAATGAATCTGGTGCTTTTAGCAAGGTGCGAATGAAGAGTGGGAGAGGTTTGGCTAAGGCAGGGAAAGTAAGACACACCGCCAGGAGAGGATCTCTGTAGCTCAGGATCCCTGGTGCTCTCTGAGCTGGGAGGTTTTCTTGCAGATGTTTCATGTCCCAACTAGGGAACATCTTCAGTGCTAGAAGGGAGGGAGGTAGAAGGGAGGGAGGGAGGGAGGGAGGGAGGGAGGGAAGGAAGGAAGGAAGGAAAGAAGGAAGGAAGGAAGACAGACAGACTGCGGGGTCCTGGATGCTCTGAGCTTGGTGGGTTTTCTTGCAGACATTTCATGGCCCAACTAGGGAACATCATCAGTGCTGGAAGGGAGGAGGAGGAGGAGAAGGACAGTGGGGTCCTTGCTTGTCTCTGAGCTGGGTGATTTTCTTGCAGACGTTTCACAACCCAACTAGGGAACATCATCAGTGCTAGAAGGGAGGAGGAAGAGGACCCACAAAGGCACACAAGGCTGCTGTGTCCTCTAGGTCCAACATTGTAGAATAGGAAAAGAACCTGCAAGGAGCTTCTAACTCTACCATAATGTTGCCTCTGTAATCCAGAAGCCAAAACCTCCCATTGGACATGTTCCACTCCACTTGAGGGGGACGTGCGCTCAGGCTGGATGGCCTCAAGGCACCCTTCAGTGAACATTGATCCTTCCCATTTTCTCCCGCTGGCTTCAGCCCTGCCTACCCCGGGGCCCAGGCAGAAAATGTAGCCCACCCTCTTCCCTCCCAACAGCATCCCAAATGCTCTTCTCCAGATGTGCTCTTCCCGCAACCTCATCTGTATGTCACACCTGGTGGTGCAAATCAGTGGTTCTCGACCTCTTCTTCACCACAGCTCCCCCCCCCCTTCAGTACTTTTTATGGCCAAGACTTAAATCACAACTTTCTTCAAGCCTTCGCAGACCCGCCGTGATGGTGTTGGGGGCCCCCAGGGGTCTGCGGACCACAGGTTGAGAACCGCTGGCATATATTATTGGTTCTGCTCGACCCCAGGGTCCGTGGCCGTCTACCACAACTGAGCCCCCAATTTTTGCTGCTTATTTGACCCACAAGTTCTAAAGGTAACGTCCGTCCCGCTGCTTCATTGTTCCATCAAGAAATTCCTCCTTAGTTCTAGATTGGATCTCTCTTTGTTAAACTGCCATCTCTTATTTCTTCTCCTGCCTTCAGGTGTTTGTTGGCACACACACACACACAGTGACAGCCCCTCAAATGTCAGTAGATGCTATGTCACCCCTAGTCCTTCTCTTCACCAGACACTCCCAGTTTCTGCACCCGTTCTTTGTATGTTTTAAGCCCCCAGACCAGTGGTGGCAAATCTATGGCACGCGTGCCAGAGGCGGCACTCAAGAGCCCTTTCTGTGGGCACCCGCACCATGCCCCGGAGATGGCAATCGTCCCTCTTCAACCAGCCACCCGCTAAGTCATCGAGGTCCCATTTGTCGGATGCATCCCAGCATGGCTGGTTTTCCTCCCCCCCCCCCGTCCCATCCCTCTTGGCCTCGCATGCTCCTTTTTCCCAGGCACAACCCACTGCATCGCCTCCTCAGCCGTCAGTCGGCCTTCCAGCTCAGAGGTGGCTTCTCTGAAGTGCTGGCGGTGGGCTGCGGAGCCCCAGAATGCGCAGGTTGAGGGGCCGGCAGGCTGTGGTTGCTGACGGACCGTCGGCCCCCATGCGCTCGCTGGCCTCTGTGTGCGGGGGCCGATGGTGTCGGGCAGCAGCCACCCCTGCCTCACCTTGCCCTGCGACAATAGCACCTGCCTCACCTTGTCCTGCGACAATAGCACCTGCCTCGCCCTGCAGGACGACCCTCCTGCCCACCGCCTCAAATGCCAGAGACCCCTGGATCTCCCCCAACCCTGCCTGGACCCCACAGGCGTCCCTCCCCAAAGCAACATCGAGGTGACCACGTCCACCTTGGCCACACCCACCCAGTCTGCCATGACCACAGCCACGCCCACCTGGCACCCAGCGATAAATAAGTGGGTTTTGGCTTGCAGTTTGGGCACTCGGGTCTCTAAAAGGTTCGCCATCACTGCCCCCAGACCCTTCAATCGTCTTTGTTGTTCCTCTCTGCGCTCTTTCTGCAGTCTCGGCAACTTTTTTGTGTTGCGCTGACCAAGGCTGTTCCACGGGGTGGTCTCAGCCCCCCCCCAAGTGTAAAAGCGGCAGTTCCCTCCTCAAATAAAGAGCAGCCCCTTTGCTCAGATGAATATATTTATACTTTTCTTAACCTACTTTAGCAAAACCAAACAAAAACCAAAAGAAAACAAATCAAAAAATTAAAATGACAGCTCAGCTAAGTAAAACAGGGGAGGGGTACAGACCAAAGAGGACGCTCAGATCAAAAGGGTTCGCTTCCGTGGCTGTGTGGCTTTTCTCCCCCCCCCCCAGCCCTTAAAAAGCAAGCTGTGCTTTCACCAGTGCTGCTTCCCTGCGCTAAAACAGCCAAAGATCAGGTGATGGAAGGGGCACCATCCAGCTCAGTGGGGGTGGGGGGGGAAGGACGAGAAGCCCCCTCTGTCTTGCTGGTGCCCCTCCACCCCCTCCCCTCCCACACAAAGTCAAAAATGCCAGAGCCACAACCACAAAGGTAAAGGAAGCCCACCGGCTGCCGCCCCCCCCCCCTCTGAGTGAGTCCCATAGCCGCCCTTCCTCCTCATGGCTGACCCTTGGCCAGCCTGACCGGACACCGCCTTGCCAAGCTAGGGGGAAGAGGAGGAGGAGGAAGAGGAGGAGGAAGAAGAGGAGAGCAGCACCAAGTGATGGGCCTCGCCAGCTTCAGCTGCCCACAGGTTATTGTCTCTGTGGCCAGGTAATAGATTCAGTGTCTCCTTGTGTGCGCGAGGTCCCCTGCGGTGCCAAGCCAGCGGTGGGGAGGAGAGAAATTAAAAGCGGAGGAGGAGAACGAGAACCAGGCCGTGAGGATGAGCATCAAGGGATCCCAAACTGGACCACCAGGTCTTCTTTCGCATCCACGCGAATCTGGGACAGGGCACTGCAGGCGTAGGCAGCTATCCGGGAGACCTAGAGCAAGGTGGACAGGGGGGAGAAGTGAATAAAGGCCAAAGAGGGGAGGGGGGGCTCTCAGGAGAAGCCCCCCCCTCCTCCTCTCCCCCAGCCACGGAGAAGAGACTTCTGTCGGGATGTGGGACGCTATTCTGCACTCCTGCGGGGGCTTTGGTACTCCCTGGGCTTGGCGGCTTTCTTACAGACATTTCGTGACCCAGCTAGGTAACAGCATCAGTGCTAGGGGGAGGAAGGGGGTTGATCTCTGCTTAGCTGGCCCTGTCAGGGTTACCCCAATCAAGGAACTATTCTGTCTTCCGTCCTTTGGAAGTCGGTAAAATGAGGACCCAAGGCAGGGGTCTTCCAACTTGGCCCTTTGAGGACTTGTGGACTTCGATTCCCAGAATTCCTCAGCCAGGCACATGTGCCTGGCTGAGGAATTCTGGGAGTCGAAGTCCACAAGTCCTCAAAGGGCCAAGTTGGAAGACCCCTGGTCTAAGGGCTATTGCTACTACTAATCAAGGAACGAAGGACACTCCCACTGGGTGACTTTGGGCCAAATGCCAGGAGCTGGTGAGTTCTAGTTCCACCCTAGGCATGAAAAGAGACTGGGTGACCTGGGGCCAACCATTGGGAGACAGCGAGTTCTAGTCCCGCCTTGGGCACGAAAGCCGGCTGAGTGAGTTTAGGCCAATCACCGGGAGACAAGAGAATTCTAGTAGTCCCGCCTTAGGCGCGAAAGCCAGCTGGGTGACCCCAAGGGCCGATCATCCAGAGATGGAGAATTCTAGTCCCACTTGAAGTATGGAAGTCAGCGGGGCGACTTTGGGCCAGTCGTTCCCTCTCAGCTCAGCCCACCTCACTGGATTGTGGTGCAGAAAGGAATATTATGTATGTTTACCTTGCAATAAAAGTGGGGATAAAAAAGCTAATATATGTGCATAATATCTATGAGATTGGTACTCACGCCGTAAGGGACGGAGCCCCCCAGCCCCTGCATCTCAAAGGCCCAGAGCCCAGGGGGGGCTAGGGTGCCTGCAACGCCATGCCAGGCTGGCTGGGGCACATGGGCCCTGTTGCCTGCTCTTGCTTCAGAGAGAGAAGCGAGAGGGAAGAAGGGACTCACAACGTGGCTAATTCCACCAGCCACGCTACTAACCTGTTGCAGGTCCGCGAAGGGCACGGGGTCGCTGGCCAGGACTTGGTGTGGCTGGTTCGTCAGCGAGGGCAGCAGTGGCAGCTTCTTCCAGTGCGTGAGGCTGTTGCTCAGCATGGCAAGCCGGGTGCTGGGGGGGGGGCAGAGAGGGATGGGGTGAGCCAGTGCTGGGGGGGGGGCAGGGGCAGCCCCAGAGGGCCCACAGCACGGGTAACATTCTCCACTTGCCCCCCCCCAGAGGCAACTGATCTGCAGCTCCAGGTGCCCCCACCCTGGAGGGTCACCCCCTCCCTCCTTCCCTCCCTCGCACGGTTGGCGCGTCTTTGATCCCAAGGGCTGTCAGAGGTTCCAGGCTCAGGGGCTGGGCACCTTCTTCAGGCTGGGCAGCTGGGTGAAGTACAGGGAGCCCTCCTTGAGTTACGACCACAATTCAACCGAAAACAATCGTTGTCCCATTTTACAACCTTTCTTGTCGTTAAGTGAATCACGAGGGCTGTGAGGCTAGTGACACACCCGTTAAGCAAATCCACCTTCCCCACTGGCTTGGCTGGCTCAGGGGGTGGCAAAAGGGGATCATGTGACCCCGGGACACGGCGACCGTCGTAAATACGAGCCGGCCCACCAAGCTGGCTTGAATTCTGATCACGCGGCCACAGGGAGGCTGCCACGGTCGCCAGGGTGAACAACGGTCCCAAGTGGCTTGTTCCAGGGACGTCATCCAATTCACACGGTCCCTAAACGGGCCGTCGTAAGTCGAGAACTACTTACAACTGTGATCTCCCAGCCAGGCTGCCTGAGACAGGTGAAGGAGCCCCCCCAGCCCCTCCCAAACAGGGCCAGCCTTCTCCCTCCCCCCTGCCCAGGGCCAGCGCACCTGTACTGCCGGGCCCGATCCATGTACTCGTGCTGCTCCATCTGCTGCTGATCTGCGGCCGAAACGTCAATGATGTTGCTGCAAAAGGGCAGAAGCACCTAGGGGTTAGCGAAAGCTGCTCTCCGCCTCCCTCCTCAGGATCGCAGCCACGATCCTGCAGCTCAGGGGTTCTGGAGCAGTCGGAGCCTGGCCCGAGCCAAAACCATGGTCAGAAGCAGGCCAGCATTCAGGGCTGGTAAGGCTACCAGTGGAAACCTGGCCTGGCTAGGCCTGGAATAGGAATAGAAAATATTTACCGTTTCTATTCTGTTCTTATGAGGTTTGTAAGCCTCCCAGAGCTGCTTGACAGTGAAATGGCGCACAGATTTAATAAAGAACAGCGACAAAAGAAGGGATGAAGGAAATACAGTTCTGATTACAATTTGGGCATTGACAAAAAAAACCACCAGTCAATTGCAGAAGGCAGTTTGACTGGGAACACCTGGCTTCCTGCGAGGTGACCTCAAACACTGTCAAATATCCAAGTCTGCCTCTCCCAGGTCCTCGGGAAGGACTCAACAGGGGGATAAAAACACCAGGACTATCTGGCTGACGGTGCAACAGTAATAAGAGAAGGGACGAAAGCAAAAAGACTTTCTGAACAGGACCACTCCTATGCAGAGGTGCTGTACATCTGGACGTTAACCCCACTCAACGGGGCCCCACACAACAAGAGAGCCGCTTGACTTAGCCTGCCATATGGTTAAGGGAACCTGTGTTCTAATATTTTTTAACGCTTTTATACCTGCTTTTATTTTACTGAAGCTGCCTACTCGGGATAGTGAGAAGGGCAGTATATAAATGTAATTATTATTATGGATCATCGCACAGTCAGCCAGATGTTCAGACTGGATTTGGCATTTTGTCTACCTATCGAGTCCTTACCCAGGACCTGGGATAGGCAGATGTGGATGTTTGATGGTATTACAGATCTTGTGACAGGATGGAAGCAATTCCTAGTAAGGCCGCCTTTTGCAATTGACTATTATATAATAATAATGATACCTGTAATACCATCAAACATCCACATCTGCCTATCCCAGGTCCTGGGTAAGGACTCGATAGGTAGACAAAATGCCAAATCCAGTCTGAACATCTGGCTGACTGTGCGATGATTGATAATAATAATAGAGTTGGAAGGGACCTTGGAGGTCACCTAGTCCAACCCCCTGCTCAGGCAGGAAACCCTATACCATTCCGGACAAAGGGCTGTCCAGTCTCTTCTTAAAAATTTCCAGCGTTGGAGCATTCACCGCTTCTGGAGGCAGGTTGTTCCACGGGTTAATTGTTCTCACCGTCAGGAAGTTTCTCCTTAGTTCCAGGTTGCTTCGCTCCTTCATTAGTTTCCATCCGTTGCTTCTTGTCCTGCCTTCTTCAGGGGCTTTGGAGAAGAGCTTGACTCCCTCTTCTTTGGGGCAGCCCCTGTTAGCCCACCCCCAGGTACCCGCTTCTCCTGCCCAGGCGCGCCGGGCCAAAGACTTACATGGCTGTCTTAGCGAGGATGGAGGAGAGCAGGGCCTGCTCGTCCGTCCGGGCTGAAGGCAGAGTGCAGCAGGACTCCATCCCATTCATGGACTTGTTGGGAGGGCTGGACGCTGGCGCCAACAGGGGCTTGGACTCCTCCCCCTGCAAATGGGGGAACAAGAAGGAGGAGGTCAGTCTGGGGAGGAGGAGTATGTGGAGCCTGGGAGGAGTTCCCAAATCCCTCCTGGACGGGGTCAAAAAGACAGAGATCTCAACAGAATTATTGGCAGCTCAGGGTTGAAATGAGGGGTGCCGGTGTTCTTGCAGACGTTTCACAACTCGACTAGGGAACCTCATCAGGGCTATGAGGGAGAGGGGTTTGCAGAGGGGAGGAGGAGGAGGAGGAAGACAACTGTGGGGTCCTTAGTGCTCTCCGAGCCTGATCGGTTTTTTGCAGACGTTTCATCACCCAACTAGGTAACCTCATCAGCGCTAGAAGGAAGAAAGGTTTGTAGAGAGGCGAAGGGAAGATGGAGGAGGACTGTGGGGTCCTTGGTGCTCTCTGAGCTGGCTGGTTTTCCTTCAGACATTTCATGACCCAACTGGGGAACATCATCAGTGCTAGAAGAGAGGGGGGGAGGAAGAGGAGGAGGGAGGGAGGGAGGGAGGGAGGAAGGAAGGAAGGAAGGAAGGAAGGAAGGAAGGAAGGAAGGAAGGAAGGAAGGAAGGAAGGAAGGAAGGAAGGAAGGAAGGAAGGAAGGAAAGATGGATTGTGGGGGTCCTCGGTGCTCTCTGAGCTGGGTGGTTTTCCTGTAAACTTTTCATGACCCAACTGGGGAACATCATCAGTGCTAGCAGGGAGAAGGGGAGGAAGAGGAGAAGGAGAAGGAGAAGGAGAAGGAGAAGGAGGAGGAGAAGGAGAAGGAGAAGGAAGGAAGGAAGGAAGGAAGGAAGGAAGGAAGGAAGGAAGGAAGGAAGGAAGGAAGGAAGGAAGGAAGGAAGGATGGACTGTGGGGGTCCTGGGTGCTCTCTGAGCTGGGTGGTTTTCCTGCAAACGTTTCATGACCCAACTAGGGAACATCATCAGTGCTAGAAGGGAGGGGGGGAAAAGAGGAGGAGGAGGAGGAGGAGAGGGGACTCCCGCCAGCACTAGTATATAAACAGAGGGCAAAACCCCTCCCTTCCAGGATGGATGAGGTTCCCTAGCTGGGTCATGAAACGTCCTTGGAGAGCTCCAAGGACACCCCAGAGACAGACATCTCCAGTTCTCTTTCTGGTCATCCATCCTCTCTTCCTCCTTTTGCCAACTTCCCTTGGGGGAGGGGAAAATCTCTCCCACCGGCCGATGGGAAAGCCAGCAAGGCTGCGTTTCCCGTGACCCTAAAGGAGCCACTTCCGTCTCCTCTGCAGCTGGGAGGGACCCTTTGCCAGCCTGGGGCTGCCCGCCCCATCCGGGCCCGTCTCTGCCATCGCAGCTCTTCGCCAGAGGTGAACTGTACCACATCTGGGCCTCTCAAGGCTTTTTACAAGCAGCGGAGACGTCTCTGCTCCAGAGGGGGGTCAGGTCTTGTCTTGGCTCCAGGACGTTCCTCCGCCTTTTCGCTCACCCCCTACAGGGAGTCCTCACTTTACGACCACACTTGAGCCCGACGTTTTTGTTGCAAAGTGAAACAGTTGTTAAGGGGGCTTTGCCCCATTTTATGTTCTTCCTTGCCACGGTGGTTCAGCGAATCACTGCAGGTGTTAAGTTAATGACTTGTCAGAATCGCAATCACGCGATTCTCCCCGGACGGCAGCAGTCGTAAATGTGAGTCACCGGCTAAGCGTCCGGAGTTTGATCACGTGACCTTCATTATCCGGCTAGGCAACATCATCCAAGTTTCACCCCTTCTGAAAGGCAAACTCAGATTTGGGGAGGCCAAATTCGCTTTACGACCGTGGTGCTAGCTTAACAACCGCCGTGAGTCAAATGGGGCAAAACTCATTTCTTCACTTTAAAAAATGACCGGCTGCCCGCGTTAGCACAGGGAGACTCTGGGCAGCTTAACAACTGCCTCGCTTAGCAAACTTTGGGCTTGATTGTGGTTGTAAGCCGAGGACTGCCTTGGGAGCTGCCTCCGATCGAAGGCAGAAGAGACAGCAGCCCCCCCCCCCAAAAGCTGTCTGGAAAAAAGGCTCTCAAAACACCTCCAAAAAGCCAGTTCAACCATTAATGGCTATCATGCTGTTACTTTTCTGTGCCCAGTCGGGAAAGGGTGAACATTCAGATATTTTGAAAATTATTCTAGCTTTATCCCACCATTTAATACGTTAATTCAAGCAATAAACCTCTTGCCTCTTTTTTTCCTGCAACAACCCTGCAAGGTAGGTTGAAGTAACATGAGAGTGACTGGCCCAAAGTTTGGGCCAATCGCCAGGAGATGGTGAGTTCTAGTCCCGCCTCAGACATCAAAGCCACCTGGGTGACTTTGGGCCAATCACCAGGAGATGGTGAGTTCTAGTCCCGCCTTAGGCACGAAAGCCAGCTGAGTGACTTTGGGCCAATCACCAGGAGACGATGAGTTCTAATCCCGCCTCAGGGATCAAAGCCAGCTGAGTGACTTTGGGCCAATCACCAGGAGACGGTGAGTTCTAATCCCACCTCAGGGATCAAAGCCAGCTGAGTGACTTTGGGCCAATCACCAGGAGACGGTGAGTTCTAATCCCGCCTCAGGGATCAAAGCCAGCTGAGTGACTTTGGGCCAATCACCAGGAGACGGTGAGTTCTAATCCCGCCTCAGGGATCAAAGCCAGCTGAGTGACTTTGGGCCAATCACCAGGAGACGGTGAGTTCTAATCCCGCCTCAGGGATCAAAGCCAGCTGAGTGACTTTGGGCCAATCACCAGGAGACGGTGAGTTCTAGTCCCGCCTCAGGCATGAAAGCCAGCTGGGTGCCTTTGGGCCAATCGCCAGGAGAGAGTGAGTTGTAGTCCCGCCTCAGGCATAAAATCTGGCTGGGTGACTTTGGGCCAGCCACTCTCAACCCAACCTACCTCACAGGATCGTTATTGCAGAGAAAAGAGGAAGAATGACTGTTAGGGATGTTTACACCTTTAGTTATTTGTAAGAATAAAGGCAGGATATCAACAAATATAAACAAACAAACAATCCTGGCCCTCTACGAAGTAAAGGGAGAGAGAGCCGGTGTAAGAGGTAAGACATTAGCTAGAACAAGGGTCCCCAAACGTGGCCACTTTAAGACTTGTGGACTTCAACTCCCAGAATTCCCCAGCCAGCACAAGTTTGAGGACCCCTGCCCTGGAGCATCTCAATCAGAACCCCATAAAGACCCACCCACTCTCAACTCCATTTTGTCACGCTGTTGCTGGTTCCGGTCATCAATAAACAGACCTTCTTTCAAAAGCAGCCTCCATTTTATTCCCAGCTTGGAGCTATGCTGGCTGGGGACTTCTGGGAGTTGAAGTCCACAAGTCTTAAAGTGGCCAAGTTTGAGAACCCCTGGGCTGGAAACTGGGTGGGGCTGTAATTCTAGTCCTTCCTTGGCCACGAGGCCAACTGGGTGACTTTCAACCACTCACTTCCTCATCCCAGGAGGGAGGCAACAGCAAAGCCGCCTCCAAAACTCCAATGGAAGAGAGCCGGTTTGAGGTCATGACTAAAGGCCCCGGGTTGGAAACTGGGAGAGTGGCCTTTCCCAGGCTCCTGTAGACGTGAAAGCCGGCTGGGTGACTTTGGGGAAGCCCTTCCCTCCATCCCTCCCCCCCTCCCTAGCCAGGAGGCAGCCAGGGTGAAACAGCCACCTGGAGAAACGTTGCCAAGAAAACTACAGGCACAAAAAATAAACGGAAGACGATATTTGTAGCTCAGGGTTGAAATGAGGGGTCCTTGGTGCTCTCTGAGCTGGCTGGTTTTCTGGCAGACGTTTCGTGACCCAGCTAGGGAATATCATCAGTGTTAGAAAGGAGGAGGAGGAGGAGGACGACTGTGGGGTCCTTGGTGCTCTCTGAGCTGGGTGTTTTTTTGGCAGACGTTTCATGACCCAGCTAGGGAATATCATCAGTGCTAAAAGGGTTTGCAAAGAGGAGGAGGAGGAGAACAGTGGGGTCCTTGGTGCTCTCTGAGCTTGGTGATTTTCTTGCAGTTTTTTCTGACCCAACTCGGTAACATGATCAAAGGTACTATGAAACACCCAGATAAGCAGGGATTGACATCAGACAAACAATTAAGCAGAAAACAATATCCCAGTCAGGGACCCAGCAAGGAGAAAACCACACTTCCATCAACACTGGCAGGGCAAGCAGTTTACATATAAACAGAGAGCAAACCCTTGCAGCACTGATGCTGCTCCCTAGTTGGGTCATGAAACATCTTCAAGAAAACCACCCAGCTCAGGAAGCACCAGGGACCCCCCCCCAGTCCTCCTCCAGCCCCCCTCCCTTCCAGCACTGATGATGTCACCTAGTTGGGTGATGAAACGTCTGCAGGAAAACCACCCAGCTCAGAGAGCGCCCAGGACTTCATAGTCTTTCCTTCCTTCCTTCCAACACTGATGATGTTTCCTAGCTGGGTCATGAAACGTCTGCAGGAAAACCACCCAGCTCAGAGAGCACTCAGGACCCTAATAGTTCTGTCCCCCCTTCTGTTCTTCTCTTCCCCTCTGCAAACCCCTCTCCCTTCAAGCACTGATGATGTTATCAAGTTGGGTCATGAAACTTCCTTCCTTCCTTCCTTCCTTCCTTCCTTCCTTCTAGCATTGATGTTCCCTAGTTGGGTCATGAAACGTCTGCAGGAAAACCACCCAGCTCAGAGAGCACCAGGGAGCCCCCCAGTCCTCCTCCAGCCCCCCTCCCTTCCAGCCCTGATGATGTCACCTAGCTGGGTCACGAAACGTCTGCAAGGGAGCCGCCCAGCTCCACCAGCGTTCTTTTGCCCCGGGTTCCCCCTCCCCACGCTGCCCAAACCCAGGGCGCCCTGGAAGGGGGTCCCCGCAGCCTCCCCACATCCAGAGAGGGCATTCCCCCCCCCGGGAGACCCTTACAGATTCCCCCAGGGACCCCAGACCCAGAGACACCCCCCACCAAATAAGAGCAGCAGCGGGGGGGGAGGGAGGAGGGAGGGGCCTGGCCTTGGGCTGCTGCGGGGGCCGGAAGGAGTGGGGGGCTCTTCCCCACCTCCGCCCCCTCCCCGCCCGGGCACCGCCTGCCTAGCCCTCCGACCTCCTCCGGGCGGGCAGCGAGGAGCCCCCGGGGAAGGCTCGGCCCCTCCAGCCCCTCCGCGGCCCCCACCCCCCAGCCGGCCCCCCCGGCACGTTGAGCGGGCCGCGAAGCCCCCAGACCCGCCGGGAGGGACCGGCCCCGCCCCGCCCTCCTCCCCCCCCGGGCGGGGCCCGACCTGGTCGGAGGCTTCGTTCTCGCTGCTGTAGCAGCAGCCCATGGCGGCGGCGGCGGCGGCGGCCGGCGGGGCCGAGGCGGCTTCGGCTGCTTCGGCTGAGGGGACGGAGGGGTCCCTGGCGAGCCCCTCAGCTGGCGCCTCGCCTCCTTCCGCCTTCCGGTCACGCGGCGCCGACTTCCGGGAGCCGGGGTGGGGCGGCGGCACCAGGCGGAGGGGCGGGGCTCCGCGGCAGTCACGTGCCCCCTCGCACGGGGCCGCGCCCGGCAGCCTCCACTGCGCAGGCGCCAGTTTCAAAGTGCTCTGTTCTGTCTGACCTCCTCCTCTGAAATGTGTCTGTCGCTTTGTGTGGAGGGAGAAGGTCGTTCTCGTTGTCCTCTGCGGGGCTGTTGTTCACTGTTCACTGAGGAGCCCTCCGGGTTAAAGAGGGTTGGACTAGATGACCTCCAAGGCCCCTTCCAACGTTGTTGTTGTTATTATTATTATCTTTACGTGAACCTGTCAACTGAACATTCAAATTCATGTAAAGATAATAATAATAATAATAATAGCAACGATAATAACAACAATAATAATGTTGGAAGAGACCCTGAGGTCATCTAGTCCAACCCTCTTTAACCCAGATTATTATTATTACTATTACTATTATTACTATTATTATTATTATCATTAAACCTGATTAAAACAACGTGGTATTTGTTCAACACAGGTAGTCCTCCACTTACGACCGCAAAGGCTGAGCCCAGCATTTCTGCTGCTAAGCGAGACCTTTGTTCGGTGGATTCTGCCCCATTTGACAACCTTTTCGTCCACCCTTCTAAAGGGAATCACTGCAGTTGTTAAATTAGTAACAGGGTTGTGAAGCGAGTCCGGCTTCTCCCATGGGCGTTGCTGACCAGAAGGTCATAAAAGGGAATCATGTAACCCAGGGACACAGTGGCCGTCGTAAATGCGAGTCAGCTGCCAAGCCTCCGAATTTTGATCCGCTGAACATGGGGAGGCTGCACGCATCGTGTGAAAAATGGACATAAGTTGCTTTTCCGGTGCCGTTATAACTGAGAGGTCACTAAATGAACTCGTAAGTCGAGGACTGCCTATATTACCCTCCCTCCGCCATCTTCCCTCCTTGTAGCTCCCTAGGAGAGCCGGTCGACGATTCGGCTGCCAAGCGTCCAAATGATCACGGGGAGGCGGCGTGCGTCGTAAGTGTGAAAAACGGGGATAAGTGACTTTTTTTCAGTGCTGCTGTAACTTCGGACGGTCGCTGTGGTTACAACCGAATCGTCGTAACTTGAGGACTGCCTGTACAAGCTAGAGAACGATGCCAAGGGGAGGGAGCCACCGCTGACGGCTCAGCCTGCCGCCCGTGGGGCTGTCTTTCCCCCCAGACTGAAAGCGAGGGAGACCCTCCCCCCCTGCTGAGTGTTGGCCCAGCCTCGCTGGTCCCAACCTTGGGGAGTGGCCTTGGCCATCTGGAAGCCTTCGAGGGATGGAGCCCGTCCTTGCTGGGGAAGTTCACTCAACCATCACAGCTCCAGCCCGGCCGGAGGGTGGGAGGGCAGGCGCCATCGGGGACCTGGATCTGATCAGCCAGTCTGGCCGCCAATTGATTCAATTTCCTTCCCTCCCGACTAGCGCAGGGAAATCGGATCCGCCGGCTCTCCCCGCCTTTCCGTTGGGACCGTTCCTCCCTGCGACTCTGGACAGGTTTTCTAAGCAGACCTTGGGTGCCTGTCCTCCATCGCTCGCGGCACTGAGTGTCTCAGAAGAACAGAATCCACAGAGCTGGAAGGGACCTTGGAGGTCATCCAGTCCAGCCCCCTGCTCAAGCAGGAGAGCCTGTACCACTTTGGGAAAATGGCTGTCCGGCCTCTTCTTTAAAACTTCCAGTGATGGAGCATCCACGACTTCTGGAAGCAAACAGTCCCATAGAATAGAATAGAATAGAATAGAATAGAATAGAATAGAATAGAATAGAATAGAATAGAATGGAATGGAATGGAATGGAATGGAATGGAATGGAATGGAATAGAAAATAGAAAATAATAGAAAATAGAAAAATATAGAATATAGAAAAATATAGAATATAGGAACTGAACCTTGGAGGTCATCTAGTCCAGCCCCCTGCTCAAGCAGGAGAACCTATACCATCTCAGAAGTAACTGTAGTCTCTTCCTGAAAACCTCCAGTGATGGAGCGCCCATGATTTCTGGAGGCAGGTGGTTCCACTGGTTAATTGTTCTCACTGTCAGGAAAATTTCTTCTTAGTTCTAGGTTGCTTCTCTCCTTGATGAGTTTCCATCCGTTGCTTCTTGTCCTGCCTTCTTCTGGTGCTTTGGAGAATAGCTTGACTCCCTCTTCTTTGGGGCAGCCCCTGAGATACTGGAAGGCTGCTATCATGTCCCCACTCATCCTTCTCTTCATTAAACTAGACATCCCCAATTCCAGCAACCGTTCCTTATATGCTTTAGCCTCCAGTCCCTTAATCATCTTTGTTGCTCTTCTCTGCACTCTTTCTAGAGTCTCAACATCTTTTTTACATCGTGGTGACCAAAACAGGATGCCGTATTCCAGGTGTGGCCTTACCAAGGCCTTGTAAAGTGGTATTAAGACTTCACGTGATCTTGATTCTCTCCCTCTCTTAATGCAGCCCAGCACTGTGTTGGCCTTTTTGGCAGCTGCAACACACGGCTGGCTCCTATTTAAGGGATTGTCCACTAGGACTCCGAGATCCCTCTATTGATTGATTGATCATCGTTAAGGACCGCCCATCTCCCTGACAGAGGGACTCTGGATGGTGTCCAATCAAACAGCCATTTGTTTCATGAAGTTGGAACCACACTGTAAAAAATGACTGATGACCATTTTCCATATGACGGTTGCAGCCTCCCCAGGATCACGTGATCAAAATTCAGACGCTTGGCAACTGACTCGTACTTATGACAGTTACAGCGTTCCGGGGTCCTTTGATTCCCCTTTTGTGACCATTGGACAAGCAAAGTCCACGGGGGAAGCCAGATCCTCTTAATAACCGTGTTGCTAACTTAACAACTGCAGTGATTCACTTAACAACGGTGGCGAGACAGGTTGTAAAATGGGGCAGAACTCACAACAACCGTCTCGCTTCATGACAGAAAATTTGGGTTTCAATTGTGCTCATAAATCGAGGAGCTCCTATAGTTGGTCTCACACTCTGGGCGGTGTCCAATCCAGTATAAAAAGCATCAAAACAGCATATCAAAGGTTAATTATGCAATTTCCTGGCCCTGCCGATGGGCCTGGGGTCCAGATGGGGCAGTTCCACACTGGAGGGGGCTGCTGGAGTGATGGCAGACTCGACCTCCCCCCCCCCACTTCTGCTCTGCTCTCCACCCATCCATCTTTTGGGTTGTTATATTGATGTATTTATTCTCCTTGTGTTCTTTTTCGTTGTTTATTGTATTGTTCCATTATTTTACTTCCGATCATTTTCTTTCTTTCTACGGTTTTCTTTACTTATTTACACTGCAGCCCCACAGTGACACATGGCAGGTGGCCAATAAATCTGACAAATAAATAATATAAAATGCTAAAAGAGGCAAGGAATGTTAAAAATGAATTAAAACGAAGCGGGTGCTCTTTCAACAGCCCGACATCCCCCCAAAAAACACCAGGAGAGAATATTGAGGGATCCCCAAGCCAAGGAGACCACGGTCCTCTTTGTCATATCTTGAACCCAGACCCACCTCAGACCTTTGCTGCCCACAGGCCAGGGCTGTCTGCAGAGGTCGGGACCACCAGATGCGATACAATCCCAGCTTTCTTTTTGATGAGCACCACATAAAACAGGCAGAGCTATGATGGCACCGTATTGCCCTTTTGACCACGCTTTGGGGAATACCCCCTCACAAGCATGCACTGCATCGTAGAGTCAGAAGGATCCAAAGAGGTCATCAAGTCCACCCCTTACTCAGCAGCGGATTCCCTATTACGGCACTCCTTTCCTGCCGGTTTAACACCTTCCCTTTCTGGAGCAAAAAAAAAAAAAAGTTGAAATCTAGACCTCCAGCTTCTGCTATGAATTGGAATAACGTGGGCTGTTGTTGTGTTTTATCTACATACAGTGATACCTCGATACTCATCGTTAATTGGTTCCGGGAGGCGCAATAAGTACCAAAAGCAGTGAATACTGTTGGAAGAAAAATCAGGTCCAGTTCCAAGCTGGGAATAAAATGGAGGCTGCTTTTGAAAGGTCTGTTTATTGATGAGCGGAACCAGCAACAGCGTGACAAAATGGAGTTGAGAGTGGGTGGGTCTTTATGGGGTTCTGATTGAGATAGTCCAGAGCAGGGGTCCTCAAACCTGGCCACTTTAAGACTTGTGGACTTCAACTCCCAGAATTCCCCAGCCAGCGCATGCTGGCTGGGGAATTCTGAGAGTTGAAGTCCACAAGTCTTAAAGTGGCCAAGTTTGTGGACCCCTGCTCCAGGGGGTTGTGCAAGGTAGTGAGTTTGTGCCTTTTGTACTAAAGGTCTTCTCTGGGGCTTAGCAATTGGGTGGGGGAATGTAAATTCTTAATCCCATCAGCTATGTGGATTGTATATGTTTTGCTTATGAATAGTCTTTCTGAAAGGATTGCAAAATCTCCATTTCTGACTGAGCCAAGGGAGATTCTTTCTGCCTAAGATTTTTTCCCATTTCTCCTTTGGGGAAATATAATATTCTGCCTTTTTTTTTAATATTCCCCAAAATATTTCATTCTCTAGTCTAGGAGGAGTGTGTGTGCTGAGCTCCTACAATAGCAAACCAATCTTTTCCCTAGAGGATTAACGTAGTGAGTTGCAAGGCAGCCAACACCAACAAATTCTAGCTTATGTGTTGAGTACTAAACAATGAGTACCGGGACAAAACAGTGGAGTAGCAAGGTACCACTGTATTTCTACTGCTAAAGTACTTGTAGAAGATCATTTTGACACACACCATACGCGGAAACAATATCGGATAGAAAATTAGCCCCCACAGTGTCAAAGTTTGCCTTGCACGTTGGATAAACCACCTGGATTTAACCAGCCCCACAAGATACGGACAACATTGAACCGAATTTGCACTGGCCACACTAAATAATAATAATAATAATAATAATAATAATAATAATAATAATAATGATGATGATGATGATGAAGTTGGAAGGGACCTTGGAGGACAAATGGCTGTCCAGTCTCTTCTTTAAAAACTTCCAGTGTTGGAGCATTCACCGCTTCTGGAGGCAGGTTGTTCCACTGGTTAATTGTTGTCACTGTCAGGAAGTTTCTCCTTAGTTCCAGGTTGCTTCTCTCCTTGATCAGTTTCCATCCGTTGCTTCTTGTCCGGCCTTCAGGCGCTTTGGAGAATAGCTTGACTCCCTCTTCTTTGGGGCAGCCCCAGAGATACATGGAACACTGCTATCATGTCCCCCCTCATCCTTCTTTTCATTAAACTATGCCCTTTATGTGAGCAAAACACCATTGTCGAATTGTGACTGTGAAGCCGAAAAGCAAATTATCCAACATCTAGCGACAGAGTGCCAAAACAGAGCCTACAACGGAGGCTTTGCTGATTTTCTGGCTGCGACCAACAGAAGGAAAAAGTTATATCTGCAATCTAGATCTAGGTTTATAATATTTTAGGTTTCATATTTTGCTTATCTTTTGTGTTTTTCCCCCTCAAAATGTGACGCATAAATAAATAATAATCTTCCCTGCAGAAAATCTCTAAAGGGAACTCCCGGATTTAGGAAAAAGCTGGAATTTAGCTTTCGGCCGCCTAAGGTGCAGAAGTTAGTCCCCATATAAAACAGGGCTCTCTAAAAGGATTATAAAGGGGCGCCTCCCTTTGATCCTTGGGACTTCTGCCAAAAAAGGGAATCCACTCCCAGGAAGCCCCTTGGGTGGGGAGGGGGGCACAGACAGCCCCGGAGGGCAGGGGGGGGGACCCCCTGCCAGGTCACCCAACCGGTTTCCTCGGAGCGCAGATGGTCAAGAGCAGCCAAGCGGCGGAGCCGATCCGGAGCGCAGCAGGGGGTCGCTCTTGGAGGAGGGGGAGGGGGCGCAAAGGAGCCGGAGGGAGGGGACTGGACGTTGGGCAACACTATTGTGTGCTTCCCTCCACCACCACCCCACCGCTTCCCCCCCCCCGCCGGCCCGCCTCCGACTCTTTGGAAGCCCTCTGCAGGGAACTTCTCCGGCAGCGCACGCCAGGCGTTTTACGCGCCCACCAAGTCGGGGGTCTCTTGGGGGGGGGGGAATCCCAGACTCTGTGGACCTCTTCCCGGTGGGGGACCGCTTAGCCGCGCGCCAAGGCAACGGAGACCCCGCGCATCTGCCGCGGGGGGCGTCGCGCAATTCCAAGCAGCATCCGCGCGCGGGTGAGCAGGAACGCACCGCCAGCCCCGGGATTTTCTGCGCCAGCTCTCCTGCCCGGGTCCGCCACTTGCACCCAGGGGGTCGGGTTTTTTTGGGGGGTGGGGGTGCAGGTTAGGGACCTCCCCCTCTTCCTCCCCCCCACCCCTCCGTCCTGGCAAGCGAGAGTTTATTATGGCTTTCCCCCCCAATGCGCGCCTCTCCAGATGTGGCTGTTGCGCTAAGCCAGGCAGAGCCCCTGAAAGGCGTGCGCCCCTCTCGCTGCCCTCCCCCGCCCCGAAGACCCCCTCCCCGCGGTGCCGGAGCTCCTGAGCCAGCCCCGACGCCGCTTTTGCCACCAGGGGTGCGCCCCATTCCAGACCCCCCTCCCCTGCGCCCCATCCTAAGCCGCCTTCTGGCTGCGGGCTTGGCGGAGTCTGGGGTCCGCGGGGCCAAGCCGCGCCCCTCCCCACTCGGGCAGAGAATTCCAGGCGTCGGAGGGGCGGCAGAGGCGGGGGGCTCCCGCGGAAGGCCGTCCTCCTGGCTTACCCCCCCTGATGCCTGGGCGTGATAGCAGCGCCCGCCCGCGGCTCTGCGTCCCCCTGGCCGCCATCCAAGGCGAGGCGAGGCGGGTGGGGGGCTGACGGGTGAGTGGGTGGGTGGGTGGGCGGAGGCCGGGGCTTCTGCCTGCCCCGAGCGCCGCCCTGCAGAGTCCCCTCCCGGCCGCCACTCGCAGACGGACGCAGCCCGCGCGGCTTCCAGGTGAAGGAGCTTCTCAGCCCGGCAGGTGCGGGGGTCGTGGGGTCGCGGGTGGGAGCCGTGGGGAGGCTGGGCAGGACCTGCTCTTCGCGGGGAGGGGGAGACCAAGCCACGGGAGGGGGGGCTGTCCAGGACGCCCCCGGCCCGAGGCTTCCCCTCCAGGTCCCTCCGTTCCGCGTGCTCCGTGCAAGCAGAGACCCGGTTACCCCCGGCGATGCTTCTCCCGCGTCGCCCCTGCTTGCCGGGCCCCACAAATCCCCTGAAAGGGGGACGGGGGTAGTTCCCCGCCTCGCTCCGTGGGGTCCCCGGCAGAGAAGCCGCAGGATGGAGGCCCCCCTAACCGAGGCAGAAGAGGGGATGGGCGGGGGGAGGGGTTCTGGCCAGCTCAGATTACAAAATACCAGACTTGGAAGGGACTTCGGAGGTCATCCAGTCCAGCCCGCTGCTCAGGCAGGAGACCAGTCCTAGACCATTCCAGACAAACGGCTGTTCAATCTCTTCTTGGAAACCTCCTTCCTTTCCTGGGGCTACAAGGGACTAGAAACCTAGCATGAACTTCTTCAGGCTTAGTTTGGGAGTAGAGTTGGAAGGGTGAAGCTTCTGCTCTTGAGGTGGGGAGGGGGTGAAAGGACCCACCAGCTGGTCAAGGAGGGAAGAATCAGCCTCAAAATCCATTGGGGACAAGCCACTTTCCTCCTCTACAGAAGAATACAGAATAACAGAATTGGAAGGGACCTTGGAGGCCATCTAGTCCAACCCCCTGCTCAGGCAGGAGACCCTACACCAGGGGTAGGCAACCTGGGCTTTTTTTATGACTCGTGGACTTCAACTCCCAGAATTCCTGAGCCAGCCATGCTGAGGAGAAAGAGAGAGGTTTCCAATCTGAGCCATGCTGGCTAAGGAATTCTGGGAATTGAAGTCCACGAGTCATGAAGGGGCCATAGTTCCCCCCATGCTGGCTCAGGAATTCTGGGAGTTGAAGTCCAGGAGTCATAAAAGAGCTGAGGTTGCCTACCCCTGCCCTACACCATTTCAGACAAATGGCTGTCCAATCTCTTCTTAAAAACGTCCAGTGATGGAGCACCCACAATTTCTGGTGGCAAGCTGTTCCACTGGTTAACTGTCGTCACTGTTAGGAAGTTTCTCCTTAGTTCTAGGCTGCTTCTCTCCTCAATGAGTTTCCATCCCTTGTTTATTGGTCCTGCCTTCCACGGGCTTTGCAGAAGAGGCTGACCCCCTGAGTTCCCCACGCGTCTGCCCCCCCCCCTCTCTCTCTCTTTCCCCCAGGTTCCTGATGGCTGTCCGGGCTGCCCTCCTGCTTCTGCTGGCCCTCTGGGCCTGCTGCGTCCTCTCCTCCGCCTTCCAGCATCACCTGGTACAGCTGAGCTCCCGGCGCAGCGCCTGCAAGCCGGTGCCCAGCAGCATGGCCCTGTGCCACGGCGTGGGCTACAGCGAGATGCGGTTGCCCAATTTGCTGGGCCACGACACCATGAAGGAGGCCCTGCAGCAGGCGGCCTCCTGGGTGCCCCTGCTGACCAAGCGGTGCCACCGGGAGACCAAGAAGTTCCTCTGCTCCCTCTTCGCCCCCGTCTGCATCAGCCAGATGGACGAGCCCATCTTCCCCTGCCAGTCTCTCTGCGAGGCCGTCCGGGACAGCTGCCTGCCCGTGATGGCCGCCTTCGGCTTCCCTTGGCCCGAAATGCTCAACTGCAGCCGGTTTCCTGGGGGCAACCAGCTCTGCATCCCCCCGGTGGGTCCCAACGACCAAGAACAGCCCCCCCGAGAAGGTGAGCAGGCGGGCAAAAGGGATCCAGGGGGGCGGAAGAGACAAGCTGGCAGTGGGGCTGGAGGGAGACCTCACCCACCCCCCAGGCCAAGGCACTCCTTGGAGCAAGCTGACCCTTTGGGGCAGGGGTAGGCAACCTGGGCTCTTTTATGACTCCTGGACTTCAACTCCCAGAATTCCTCAGCCAGCATGGGGGAACTATGGCCCCTTCATGACTCCTGGACTTCAACTCCCAGAATTCCTGAGCCAGCCATATTGAGGGGAAAGGGAGAGGTTTCCAAGCTGAGCCTTGTTGGCTCAGGAATTCTGGGAGTTGAAGTCTGCGAGTCATGAAGGGGCCAAAATTTCCCCCATGCTGGCTGAGGAATTCTGGGAGTTGAAGTCCCTGAGTCAT